ACCCAGCGGGCCGGGGAACGCCTCGAGATCCGCCGGGAAGAGCTCGAAGAAGTGGCTGGGGAGAGGGAAGTCTGGGATTCCCTCCTAAAGCTGCTGCCCCCGCGACCCGACCCCGGATAAGCGGTGGAAAATGGATGGATGGATGGATATCTCAATTATTTGTACTTCCACTGTTGATATTTTTTTGCATAGGTTATTGGTCACACATGGTGGATAAAGAAAAATTTAAATGATTTGTGTTATTTTGTTTGTTAATTTTGACAAGGGGTATGTAGATTTTATATCCACTGTAGCCCCTCTGCCGTCATCAAATTGGCTTACTCCTCAACAATGTGTCCCCATGTATTTATTCATTTATTTCCCCCAACTTTCATCAACCTATCATCTTTCCTTTCCATCACCTCATTTCGCTATATTCCACGAATTAAATAAGCAGGCATAGGTGACACATGTACAGTAACTTTTATTCGGCGGCCACAGCTCTTGCATATTACAACTGTTGGCGTTCAGAAAGCAAAAAAAAAACAAACAAAAAAAAAGCAAGAATGAATCCACCAGCTAAATGACACAGAAAACTGGAGAGAGAGAACAAACAAAAAAAGTGTTTGGAAATTGTTGGAACCCACAGGCATGCAAGCGATGGCTCAGAATGCAATGTACAGCATTTTATATTTATATATATATTTATATCATATATACAGAACAACAGTGAGACCCAAGCCAGACATCTCATTCCACACAGTTACACAACAAACACAGACCAACTTTTTTTTTGTCATTCATTTAAAAAAAAAAAAAATCATGTTCGCTTTTTTTTCTCTGTAAAAGTGGAAATCAATTAAAATAGAACCTGTTTTCAAGACATCTTTTTTTTCCCCCCTCTTTGAATGTGGAAATAAAAATAGAATCTCCCGGGTTATCAAAATGGAGGGAGAATGGAGAGTATTGCATCTCTCGAACCCCCTCGTGGTGAGGCTGAAGGTCGAAGGTCAACGCGTGTCAAAGACGAGCCGTCAACAAAAGACAGAGGGGTCTTGTTTGTCACTCCCGAAGCAGTTGGCGTTCACTTGAAAACAGACAAAGAGAGGCTCCACACATACACACACACACGACAATGTACCATGAATGAATGGAGAGTACGACAAAGAAGCGCCATATACGTACGTAGTTTGCATTGGACGGACGGAGGGACGGGACACACACACACACACGCACGCACGCACAATTTAATCTCACTCAAATGCTTCTCCATATTGCTTACTAACACATAGAAATGAATTTTGAAATGAATGAATCGGTGCTATCTTTATTATGACACAGCTAAACTGCCAATCACTGGTTATTTTTTTTCAACACTTTTATCGTGTTTCCTCAGTATAAGCACAATTATTTTTTTCCCATTATTATTATTCGTTTATAGTTCCTTCGTAGGCATTTCGAGCTGACAAAGAGGTCCTAGAGTGGCTATCTGAGTTTGGTACATGCATCGGTTAACCAGGCTAAAGTCAAAAGTGTGATTAAGGGCAGGGTGGGGGTGGGGGGGGGGGCGCGGTGCATGGCCTCTAGTCGTCCTCCTCGTCCTCTTCATCGCTGTCCTTCATGGAGATGCCCTGCATGCCTCCTTCCCTCACCGAAGCCGTGGCTTCCTCCAAAGTCAGCCTGTTGCGCACCGTGTCGTACATCTTGCTGTTCAGGGTCGAGTCCAGTACGCCCTGCAGGCGGAAGTCACGGTACTTTTTCTGCAGGAGGGGGCGGGGGGGGGGGGGGATCACGGACAGCAAAGGTTACTTTCTGACAAACGCACACGATTATCAAGTCGTTTCTATTTCGTCCCAAGTCACCTTGGTGATCCTGATGAGGATCTTGAGCTGGTAGACGTGCAGCTGCTGGTCCATGCGTTCGGTGAGCCAAGTGCCCAGCAGGTTCATGGTGGCAGTGTACCATTGCTGAAAGACATAAACAGCAACTCTCCAGCAAGAACACCCACTCACACACATCGCACACCTTGACACAAGACGGCGGGAAAAACAACAATAGTCTGCCGCCGCATGTGTGCCCGTACGCCCACATGGGAGCCTTCACCGCACTGAGAAGGAGGATTCAATCAGATTTCGACGTGAAAAGGGTCAGCTTGTGAGAATTAGCTCGTATGAGTGTATATGAGTGAATCGTTAGCAGAAAACAAAGTTGTAATATTAAGTGCGCAAACAAGAAGGAGTTTCATTTGGCATTTTACAAGAATAGTCATAATATCATCGATTCATCCATTTTGTGATCTGCTTTATCCTCATGCTGGAGCCTATCCCAGCTGTCTTCGGGCAGGTGGCTGGGGACACCCTGAACCGGTTGCCAGTTCATTGCAGGGCACACACAGACGAACAACCATCCGCGCTCACACTCACACCTAGGGACAATTTGGAGTGTTCAATCAGCCTTCCACGCATGTTTTTGGAATGTGGGAGGAAACCGGAGTGCCCGGAGAAAACCCACGCAGGCACGGGGAGAACATGCAAACTCCACACAGGGAGGCCGGAGCTGGAATTGAACCCTGCACTCCTAGTGTGAGGTCAACGCGCTAACCACTGGACCACCAGGCCGCCCAGTCACAATATCATGAATAACAAAATCTTAACTGACAAGTGAAATGACATAAATGTTGAGAATAAATTTGCAGTATTTCCATTCGATCTATACAACAAAAAAAAAAAAAAATTAAAGCTGAGAGATGGAATTTGTATTTTTTTTAAGATAGAAGAACCCCACTGAACTCATAAAAACCATAATCCCCCCCCAAAAAAAACCCTCTATTTCGAATAAATGGACACAATTTGACCTCATCTTCTGTTAGCGTGTCATCACCAAAAGCAAAGAGGATTATGATGTCATTTCAATGTACTAGAAGATTGTTTTAGCGGCGACTTCAACGGGTCCCAACAGCTGCAACAAGAAGCACTTTGCTTGCGTTTTATTATGCGGCAACGACTTCATTGAGTGTTTTTACGGCCCATAAACACTGAAATTCACATCATGTTTTTTATGTACGAGCCCATTTTGCGTGGAGCACATCTCAACGAGTCATTGCAGAAATGCCGTGATGCGACTTTTTCCACAAGTGGACCGACCGGCCCCAAATTGGCACGTTTGTTCAAATCATTGAGATTGCATCTTGAAGAAAGCAAACCAATTTGTAAAAAGAACACACAACACGCACACGCACACACACACACACACACACACTGGATTGACCAACAGGGCTGTACGAAATTCAGAATTGTGGCGCCTCAAAACGTTTCCCGATTGGAGCGAAATTCTGGTTGCACCAAGCTGGTTAATTATGCGTGGGCCAATCACTCGATGCATGGGCATGTGAGTCACCGACGCGCTGTTTTCAGCCCCAGTCATTACCATCGCTCAGCGTGAGGCAGACCTGCGTCGTGCACGGTCATCGTCGTAATCAGCAAATTGGCCCTTTAAATGAATTGAAATGCATGCTTACTTGGCATTGCTGACTTTGGGAGATATTTAAGAATTCATCGTGCTAAGTGATCCATTCATTTCCTAGACGCTGAAGATTGACGTGCACAAAAAAAAGTGCAAATTAAGCGGCTGGGTTTTGGAAGCGGCAATAAGGGGGAATGTGTTCACACTGCGCCACATAAACGCTGAGTCAGTTTTAGTAGGAACGTGACCTCAGAGGCCTTGGAGATGAAGCAACTTGTAAGTTGAGCCTTTACTGGCAAAAGAAAAGGAGCGATGGGAGTGAGCAAATGGCGCACAGGCGCGGTTGAAGCAGTGCTATTGTCGTGTACCTTCTCTCTGCTTTGTCCCACACTTGGTTTGCATTCAAGGCTACAAGAGAACAGCACTCACACGGAGTTGAAATCAAGACCTCCGACAGCTTTGAAAGCTTTCACTGGGTCCAAATCAAACGGGCTCGTCGTATCCGCTGGTCAGCTTTCGTCGGAATTTGCTAAGGTGAATGGATGGACGGTTTTTGGACTCAAGGAAAGGGAGGGGGGTGTGTGTGTGGTTTGGTTGCGCAAGGGAGCGGGTTCCGGGTTGATGCAGATGCCTTTCCACTTGACAGTCGAGTCGAGCGTGCAGTGCATGCAGACCTGGCACAGGTGTGTGCGTGCTGAGGAAGAGACGACTGCCCTACGGTAGTAACGTGTGCAAAATGAGCCACAAGTCGGAGGAAGAGGGTCATGCTAGAAGATGTACACAGGAAGATTATTTGAATCCAAAAAAAACATGCCAACCAACATAATGTGAGAAAACAACTCAACACTCGAGATAAGTGCCACTTTTTTTTTTTTCCACTCGCCAGGGGCTGTATTGACGTGACCGCCATACATTTTTACAGCAGTTCCGCCTGCGCATGTGACGTGTGGAATCTCGTCAAATGAACGTAGCTGCAGCGACGCAGATCTACCCGGCAACCTGTGATGTCAGTTGTAACGTAATATTGACTGATCATAAAATCGTATTCGATTTATTATGATGCATATTATATTGTCCAGCCATCCATTTTCGATAGCACTTGTCGTCACCTATCCCAGATGATGAGCAAAAAATGGAATACAACCCGGATTAGAACCTCACAATAAGTCGAATTTTATCCTGATCACAATTTTTGGCGACCTCAATAACAAGCCAGCGCAACCTGCAGCGGATGTCTAATGTTACTTGGCGGACGGATGAGAGCAAGTCATGTCGAGAAAAGAAAGTATGCCCAAAATTGGGGATGAAGATCATCATGGGAAGAAGCTAAATTGAGATTTACCCCCACGAAATCAAGGCACTTTCTCTCATATTAACACTTCAAAGAAAAAAAAAATCACTTACGATATTCTTAAAATATTTACTTAACACTGAAATTCCAACAATCTACACTTATTCACGCACGCACATGCACGTTTCTTTCTTTCTTTGTTTTTTAATTAGTCCACAAACTTTTTAGTGGCTCTAGCCATTTTTGTACGGAGACATGTTTTCAAGGACCGACAAAAAAATCGGTCATTCGCCATGACATGCTCAACGAGCCGGCGCATTCTTCCCACGCTTATTACGAAAATAAAGACACGGGTGCCGTAAAGTGTCATGGCGGTTGTTATTCAATGATGAAAACGTTTTTTGTTAGCACACAGGTGTTGTCTGAGCATTTATTGGACGTAATAATCTGGTAACAAAGGATTTTTGAAAACATTCTTCATGGTCAGTACCAGTACTGCGATCGGAACGTGTTAGCATTCAACGCGTAGAAATTTGCAACAAAATATAGTGCATAATATTTAAACTGCAAATACACTGTTGGTTTCAATTTATTGATATCAACTATAATTTTGTATATTGTATATTAATATTTGGATGATTCTTTGAAAGTCTTTATTTTTACGTACGCGCAACCCTTATGAAGATGAGCGGATTAGAAAATGGATAGGTGGATGGATGGATATTTATGTGACATATGCAATATTCAATATTTATCATTAGTGTGGAAGTCAGCCTTTTTTTTCCCCCTACATCTACCACTGTTGTTAGTGGGACTTTTAACTCATGACTTTCTTCAGAATTCTGATTGGCTAAAATGATTACAGTGCCCCCTGTTGCTCTGGCATGGACTTTGCAGCCTTTGAAAGTCTTTCGATTTTTTTTTTTTCTCAAACGGCATCTATTCGGACGCCGCAGTGGATAGAAATAGCTTCTGCGTTGACATAAAGCACTCTCATCAAAAGTTGGAACTGCTGTAAAAATAGATTTGAAGAAAATAGATTTACATCTCGTAAATAAAGCCACTGCAGTTTTTTTTTTTTTTTACACTGGAGGAGGAAGCAGGAATGGTGTTAATAAGAAGAGACCAAAAGGGTTGAAATCAGAGAGATCCAGTAGAGCCGGTGCAACATCGAAGGATGGCTTTGACATACATGCAAAAATTGATGGACGGAAATGCATTACGATGGGAAAAGCAAAAAAGAAAAGTAACCAAAAACAATGCGGACATCCTAATGTCACTTTAAAAAACGCGGCTTCGACTTGAGAAGAACTTGAACATGACTCGTCTGTGGGTGGGGGTGGGGGAGGGGGGAAGACCACACAGAGAACACAAGGAGGAAGTGAGGACGCAGACAAGGGCGGAGCCTTCTCACACACAAAAGCAGGGCCACACCATAAAAAAAATAAAATAAAAAAAAAAAAAGATACATAAGAAACATACATAAATCAAAGACAAACAAAAATAGTTTCATCTGGCACGCGGCTCCCGCACAATACACCTGCGTGTCAACCCAACTCACTTCCTCACAAAGGCCGCCACGCCGCGGCCGAGACGTGCGTCTCAACAGATAGGTTCGCAATGACGTGGAAGCACGCACGCGCACACACACGTACACACACGCACACACACGCACACACACACGTACACACACGCACACACACGCACACACACACACACACACACACACACACACACACACACAACACGGCATTATGTGTCGTTGGAAACCACACATGGGGGACACATTGCTGTCAATGTATCCCGTCAGGATTATGTTGGGCTAAGACAGTGCTCTCTTCACCCTCCAACACATGAAAACCTGCCCGTGAGCCCACCGCCTTTACAATTTCTGCATTTCCGCTAAAGGCTCCTCATGTGTCTTCCTGAGGAGTGCTTGATGTTCACTAAGCATGCACTTTCCAGAGAGCACTGCTTCATATAATCCTTTACTTGGGGTGGAGGGGTGGGGGGGAGGAGATGCTTTTACGGACTCTTTGTAAATAAAAGCTTGTTGTGCTTGTTTTTTTTGTTTTTTTGTTTTTTTTTTTACATAGACAAAGGCCCAAAAGCACTGTGGAAATGCAGACCGGAATGCAGAGGGCAGCAGCTGAGCTTGAAAAGAGAAAGAGAGAAGAGGACAGAAAGGACAGGAAGAAACACTTTTCCTGCTCGCAAAGAAATTAAAAACCCAAAAAACAAAACCAAAAACCCAAATGGGACTTATCCCCCTCTGCCCTGTTGTTTTGCCCACATTCTGTAGGGCCCCCTCTCTGCTTGAGCGGAGGAGACGGCATCTTACTTACATCAAATAACCTTTCTATATACACCTCCTCATTGACCTTATCACGCAGCATGTCCTGAGAGTGGCGGACAAAGGTCACGTAGCCGTCAGCCACGTCCATGCCGGGTTTCTGCAACATAAACACACGGCTGGCTGACTTACTGCGGAGAAGCGAGTGGGCGAAAAAAAATGTCAACGTGTGGGCATGGCGTGAAGGGAGAGTGTGACTTACAGGTACGTCCACGTACTTAGAGGCAGCTTTCACCTGAAAAATGCAACCAAACAAATCAAAGGTGGCATTTTTAGAACAGTAGGTTGCTAGGAACGCATGAAGGATTTTTTTTCTTTCTTTTCTTTTTTTTTTTTTTTAATTGAGCAGCATGGTGGTTTGGAGGTTGAACAGTTTTGATGATCATTCTATCAGTCCCCTTTAAGTGGTTCATACTTTTTACAAGTACCTGGCAGATAAAGATTCTTTTGAGGACGAAAATGCACATATTTGGTTCGATACAATTCCGATCAATTAAGCGGGCGATTAATTTAAAAATGATTAAAATATCGTCATTTTTAGTCCCTTAAAGCTTACAATGAAGACATAAAGTCGAGGTCGAACAATTGACTCCGCGCATTTAAAACAAAACGTTTGAATGTCATTATTTTTGTCTTGTGTTGTAATGCACAGATCTGGCCCGCCACGTCATTTTATGCCGCCCGCAAAAGCAAAACAGACATGTCAACTTTCATGAAGCCTGCTAAAATCTGTACAAAAATTTGAAATTGTCACATGGAATAAATAATAGCATTGGGACATAGCAAGCATTTTCTTGTTACCAAACCCTTTAACACAGTAACGTAAACAACCGGTCCAAAAAAACATTTTGGACTTCCAATTTCAAAACATTATAGTTGTACAAAGTAAATGTACTGATATGAGGAGCTGCTTAAACATTTACACGATGTAGTTTCACAGTCATAACGTTTGTTGAATGTCCAATTTCAAATCTTGTTCTAGGTACAAATGATTATTTTCAGCATACCAAAAGGAAATTTCATCTCACCGTGAACGAGAGGAACGAGGAGAACAGCGTGCCTTCATCGTATCTGGATATCTTTGCCAAAACTCCCTCCAAAATGGCGACAAACTAAGCAAAAGACGAAAAAAAATAAATGATTTGATCAGCGCAATGTATGTCATCGATGCAACATGTGACCTCGCACCTTTGCCACCAAGAGCTGAATCATGTCCCGCACACTTTCCTCAATCAGTTCATCGATTTGCGAGTGGAACTGTTTCTGCAAAGAGAAATCATCAAAGTCATCAGTTTGTATTGTACAACATTGTGACATTGCCAGACGCAAATGAAATCTCAACGAGTTGTGTTGAGTTTGTCTCACAAGTCATTCACTTCAATAAAAATGACGCGATGTGTTTGCAATGACAATTTAATGACCAAATCACAGCAGTTTTTTTGAAATAACGGTTAGCTTAGCTCATTCTATTCCTTCTTTTTTCTCATTTCCAGCAGTGTGAAGGCCTTGCGGCACCATGCTGCCTCCGCGAGGTCAGTCATGGTACTACGACAGGCATTTGATTTGATCATTACTTGTGTGTTGATCATCATAAACAAGCTGCTAAGATATAAAAAATTAGTACAGTACATGTGTACCCCGCTGAAGTAAAAACGGCGATTTACTTTGTTTTTTTCTTTGTTTGCCTCCTGACCCATCTCCATGGCGCACAGTTTGGCCGACTGGTCTTTCGCGTCCACCATCACATTGAACATGGTGCATAATGTCGGAGAAATGCGGAAATCTGTCGACTTGCTGCTCTTTGCCACTTTGGACTCAAACGCCATCCTGGTGCTGTTTGGAAGGCAAACGGGATATTGATGAAACTGCGTGATATCAATGACCTTTATTATCATTCATATAATGCTTGATTTGCAACCACTGAACTAAAAACGAACAAACTAGCTTTTAAAAATACCGCTTGACGCAGTTCTCGATCATGTTGCTCGACATGAGCTTGATGCGACTCTCCAGATGTTTAGCGAACTCCTCCTCGGGCCAGTGGAGGTCCCGGATGAAGGTCTGAAGGGCGTCCAGCTTCCAGAACAAGTCCTCGGATGTGCCGGAGCCGTTGCTGCCATTGAAGCAAACGCATACATGTCAAAGATGATGCCAGCGGGTGGTGGCAGGGGTGAAAGGTCAGGGAAAGAGGGAGGTGTTAAGGGGTGTTGCTCCTCGCCACCTGAGAAGTCATTTGACTATTTTGGACATACATTGACTGGTACTTCAAAAGTGGTGTGGACAGTCAAGTGTACGGGTGGGGAGGAGCGAGAACTATACAGTAACAAGTCAATCAATAATCCTCCTTTCCGGTATGATTATTGATCAGGGGTGTGAGGTGGCCACATGCTGGTTCAAATTACTGAGGTTAGGGCATTGAGTCACAAAGGGAATGGCGGCATGAGAGAGGACATCTGAGATGGCGGTTTGTGGTCTGATTCTCCCAAATGGTCACGTCCCCTCTCAGCATCCATGTCCCCAAGCTGCTGGGGGGCCTTCGGAAAGAACTACCAGACATGCCATGCGGACCTTCTTGAGCCAGCCCCAGTGGAGTCTGTTGGGCAAGTGCTGCCGGGATGGACGGTGAAAAATAGCCAGCCGAACCTTTTTTTAGACCCATCTCCACCCCTGCCCTGCCCCGCCATCTCCATCCGGGCCGCCATCCCAGCACCCAATCAGACTCCCGGTGAGGCGGTCAAGGTCGTAATCCCACGAAAACAAACGTGTGTGAGCTCCTCATGGAGATGTCTGGTTTTGCAAATGGTTTCAAACGCATTGGTTTCGTTTTCTGCATCATAAATCACTAGACGCAGCCTCAGGGAAGCATTCAGCGTGTATATACTGCATGCAGAAATGTACAGTATATACGTGACTTCTTTCGGGGGCGGAGAGTGGGGTGGGGTGTGGGGGGGCGGGGGTCCGGCCCTGCAACTGAGTCATCACATCGCAAGCTCAACGGCATGCATGTTGAGACAAATGACCTCTTCTATTCTCAGAGAATCCTTGGCATGAACATGAACTGTTTTTGACATGAGTCGGACGAGAAGTAATGAAGTCATATGACAATTAAAGCAGAAATATCGAGTCATTTGACAAGACCTTCAAAGCTCTAGAAAGGAGAGTAGCCTCAATTCTGGAGCCATGGTGGGCCTAAATGACCAACTGACCAACTGTTGGACCAGCCGAGACACCACCCAGGTGACGGGAGCACTCGTCATGGTGGCTAACGTTCCTGATTGGCAGTTTTGCCATAGTTACCTTGAGATTTCACTAACTTAGTTACTTTACTGATTACTCGCTTTACAAATGAACAACCGTATTGGCAGTTATAAGACGGCCCTGATTATAAGACGACTCCCTCTTTTTCAAGACTCGAGTTTGAAAAATGACTTTTTGAACACCAAATTAATTTTTATACAGAAAACAATTACAGTACATCTGAAACAAATGATTCTAACAATATATTTGAGAGAAAAATCATGTTATTTTGCCTCATTCAAATCTTAATATCTGAACATTTAAAGATGTAAACTAAAGTGCAATCACATTCGTAAATGAATGGCTTCTGGTTTTTGAAACGTAACTGACATCATAACTTCTCCTCAGCTGCCGGTTAACCTGGCCGATCTTCGAGCCACTTTTCTCCCGATTGTCACGATGTTTCTCCATTTTCTGTTATCTCTTCTATTATTTTCTTCTCTTTTCTTTCTTACCGCTATTTTTAGTTTTCTTCTTCGTGCTACCGCTATTTTTATTTTTATTCTTCGTGACAGGGGTTTGCTTTGGCCTGGGGAGTCAAGTTCAGCATTCGCTTCAATGGTATCTGGCGCCATCTAGCGTCGTGAATGGGTATAATGTCTCGACCCCGAATATAAGACGACCCCCACTTTTTCAGTCTTATTTCAATGCAAAAAACACCGCCTTATATTCGGGCCAATACGGTAATTTAGATTAGAAATTACTTGAGTAGCTCCATGCAGCATATACCGACAACCCTGCTGATCCTAAAAATGACACCCGGTTTTGCCACTGAATTAGAAGCTCTCTTCGGGCATTAGGCGGGGTACACCTTCAACCGGTTTCCAGCCAATCGCAGGGCACACAGACAAACAAAATAAAGTTTGTTTTTATTAAGAATACAAGAAAGACAACATTTGTGACTTACTATAATTATTTTAATGAAAAAAAAAACATTGAGACTTTTCAGGATTTCACTTATAAAATTTCTATTTTATCATTTAAAAAATAATAAAAATACTTTAAAATTATAACATTTTAAAAAATGAATTCTGTATTTTTTTATCTGATTATATTAATAACTGTTAATGGCATGTATAATGTACATTGTTTATTAATATAATGATGACATTTGGGGACGTCCTGCCCATCTGGTCTGACTTTCAATGCATACTGCCCTCTGATTGGTTCCTTTGTTTTTTGACACCATGTTATTGAAGCTACAGAGGTAAAATTGTGTCAACAGCACAGAGTGCACCAAACCAGATTAGCCATTATATCAAGATTCAAATTATTATTTTTACGCCATCATGTCGAGCCCTGGAGCATAAAAATTGATTACCTGTCAGTCCTAACTGCTGCTAATAAGGGAAATCTGAATTTTTTCCAATCAATTCCTCAATGTGTGCATCTTCATACCAAGGCATTCTCCGTTTTGCTCAGGAAAGCTAGAGTAAACCAGTTGAATACACACTCAGAGTCATATATAGCAGCCATCCATGACGGGGTTGAAAAGCTAGGCATTTGTGGAAGGTTAACTGATAGTCCCGCTACTGGAACTGGCAGATTTGGTACTTTGGGAATTTGGAGGTTGACATTTGGTAGATTCACATTGGGCAGATTACTTGTTAAACTCCTGCAGAGGAGACAGACAAAAAGAAACAACAAGAACAAAAAGAACATAACAGTGGCGTGGGAGCAGCGGAAAGCCGTGTGACACTCATCGCTCAACGTAAAGATTTAAAAACAACACGTGAACAAATGAGCAGACTTACAGCTTGACTCACATATAAAAAAAAAAAGTCTTACCATCGCAAAACAACAAAAAAAAAAAAATCACCATTTTGATTTACTTTAATACTTTTATCAAATCAAACAAAGAAGTGAAACTGTGAAAGCCACAACAAATGATTAACAGCAGCAACGGACTGGAGGCCTTTTTTGGGTTGTTTTTTTTTTTGGCAACATGTCAAAAAGCACAAATTATGAAGGTTAGTGTACACAAAACAAAAAAAAAAACAAAAAGAAATATTAGGCATCAGCCTGGCTCCAACGTGCTGCAGAGAAATGGCTCAGACGCACACATTAGTCAGAGGTGACAAACTATTTTCACAGTTAATAACGTTTGCCTCTTTGATGTATGTATTAAAAAAAAAAAAAAAAGCATATTCAGCCCACGCATGGCTTGTTCATGAAGTTCCAAGGAAGCCTGGGTGAACTTCACAGATGCACTCCTAAATCGCCGTCTGCCTCCGATTTAAAAAAAAAAAAAAGTGAAGTAATCCTAGAGATGAGCTACAAAGACAGAGGCTCCTTACTTTACAGGCTCCCAAGACTCCCGCTCAAAGCCCTTGTGAATTGACTGTGCGATGGAGGACTCCATCAGATCCACATATCTAACCACCAGAGGAGCGTACAGATCCTGAAGGTGCTTGTGGAATTTTCCGTTGCACAGATGATCTACATAGAAGAGGACAAGCGGAAGAAGACCATCAGGAGGAAAATTGATCATGCATTTCCAAAAGAAGCCTCTCTCTCTCTGTCTCTCTCTGTCTCTCTCGGCACAATGCAAAAAAAAAAAAATCTTACAGTCTGTTCGGAGGAAATCGTTGAGAAGCTGGAAGAGCGGGAAACTGTCCCAGCTCTCGGGCGACTGGATCTCCAGAGCGGCGTCCATGTCGATGGCGTAGAGGGCCAGGAAGTTTTCGGCGTGCTCCACCATGAGGTCGGTCCACCATGCAAACGCCTGCAGAGAGAGCCAGAGGAAAAGGGAAGCAGGTGAAACGGGACACGAGGAGGGCAGGCAAAGGAGAGAGGAAATCAGGCACGACTGCTTGCAAAGAAGGAGACTTGTCGGATCCTGTTCTATTAACATGTTTATTGATATTCTTTCATTTTCTTGCTATCAACTTTTGACGCATTTGCAAGTTCAAAAGGGCACCCACAGAAGCTCTAAAATGACCAGAGTATGAATCCCTAAAGACATTTTGCATTAGGTATTCTGTGAAGTCAAGCCAAATCACTTTGCTCGTCACAAATTTACCTGTTTTGAGTTTTTTGCTGTGGAGCCTATGCTCAGGAATTCACTGAAAAACTCACCTATTCATGTTTTGCATTCTTTCTACTACACACTCTTAAGAGTCCACAAGATGGCGGCAAAGCGTTAACATTAATAATTTGTGTCAAAGAAGTTTGCTGGAGTGATACATTTGGACAGAGGGACCCAGAAACATCTTTGTTAGGAGCTAACTTTCGCCAGGGTTCTTAGTGGAAGTTGCAGACAGTCTTTGCATGAAGCATTTCCTGTGATAAGGTCAGACCTGCTTCTAACAAAATATGGCAAAACTGGAACCTCTCTGAGTAGTTCCTTGGCACCACATTATGCCACAAGAAGCCACTAATGCAATGTATTGACAGACAGTGCTCTGGCCTGAGCACAAAAACAGCAAATAGGTGAGTTTTTCAGCAAATAACCAAAGCTTAGTGACCCAAAAAAAAAAAAAATTGGTGAACACTGACACACCAACGTGTGAGGTAAGGCGTATTATCATGATTGTAATTCGTAGTCGTGTTAAAGTGCACCGCAGCATTGCGTCATCCTTTGAGCGGTTATATAGTTAGTAGTGATGGGACAAAACAGTAGGAACGCCTCTCAGTAGGAGAGCGTTAGTGAGATGCTCCATGCTCGTCAAACAACATGCTTCGTCACAGTGGGTGTGCGTGTGCTGCATTTCGGAGGCATTCTGCCTTCCTCCACTTTTGTCTTGCCTCGTTGACGCTTTTACTCATGCCGATGTGCCGCTTCCCTGCATGCTTTTCTGCCAAGCTAAGAAAAGATGAGCTGTGCCCCCCCCCCCATTCACAACGGCCACGGACAAAACCCCAAGTGAATGCCACTCATGACATGCACGTCGTGATCCTCGCATCCTTTGCTATAGTGCATAGCATTTCCGATGAGCAAAGGCGGATCTTCCATTTAGGCTTCTCTTGAAATCTTTCCAAAATAGGCTGTAATGCTTCGGGGCATCCCAATGTGGCTCGGCCACTGCAATTGGCAGTCCTACAATACTTACCTGTCCACTTACCCACCGCCGAAGGCTAAAAAAAGGCGCTAGCGAGAGAATCGAGTCGCAAACGCAGTTTTTCTCCGCCACGTTTAAGGAGAAGAAAGAAAAGGGGACTCAAGTTTCCGAAAATGGAGAATACTCAAAGGCGGTAGGGCAGAGAGACCCAGCCCCAGATAACCTTTGGTATCATTTGTTCAAGAGTGAGTAACGGCCCTCAAATTCTATGGCAGCGCCAGTCTCTCTACAGTGCTTCGTCAATGCAATCAGTCCAGAGGGGACATGCACATGACGCATTCAGTGTTATTACATACCTCTTTTCCCTGCACGGACAGGCATCAATCACAGTGAGAACACAGGAAAATGAAAAAAGATTGTACTTTTGAGGGAGTTTTTGGTGTGTGTGTGTATATGTGGTCAACTTAGACAGCAGAGTGGGTGATGGAGAAGGAGGAGCTTAGTGGGAATGCTTGGACAAGAGCGGACATTAATCGTCGGATGGACAAGGAACACATCTATGGTGGATCAAAATCGGAGGTTCACATGGAGCATACTCGTTCATACCGGTTCAGCATGCTGTTGGGAGAGCAAGGAAAGCTCTTTATGGCCCGATGAACATGCGTTATGATCACAGTCATGTGGTGCAAGCTCCTCGTATTCGCTTGGTTACCGAGCCCACCCGTCGCTGCAGCCTCAGCTACAAAGAAGCTGCTTCTTGCCATAGTGGCACGCATGCCATACAAAAGGGGCGGTGGGGGAGGGGCGGTGGGTTGGGTTTGTGCGTGATAGGGACTGAAGAGGGAGGGTGGGGGGGAAAAAAAATCGAAATACTGTACCGATTGATCTGCAGAGCTTGTGACTGCCGCCTGTCAAGCATATTCAGAGAGATACAATAAATCTGCTAGATCCGCATACTGGGAAAGGATCACACTGGATCATCAAGCTTTTTCCTATCGCAGCTGTCGGCGGTGAAGCAATCTTCTTTTTGTGAACACTAAGAGCTTGCAGGAGCGTCGCCAAATGCAAATAACTTCCTTCTGAACGCCCGCAAAATAAAATACATCCGCGAATGCTATATTTCATTGCCGTTATTGTGCTGAGATGTGGGATGTCCAAACTTTTTTTTTTCCCACTCTCTGCCACATACTGAACAATGAAAAGAGGGACTCTAAAAAATACATTTGGTACGCAACTTTCCTTTTGCATTAGCTGTATGGCTACAGCTGTGGAATTATTGGAATATACGTATTACTTCCATTATTTACTTCTTGCAGCGGGACCAGAAGGCAACACCTTAACTCTCTGCCTCATGTTTGGATTTTTGGGGGAATTTTCCCTTGAGATATTGCTCGATCTATTTTTTTAAGGAAAAAAAACTGTCTTGTTTATGAAACAGTTATTAATATTAATGTGGGATCAACATTGTTTAAATGTAAAAAAAAAAAAATAAGTTGTAATTTTCATTTCAATGGAAAATAATTTGTTATCTTGTTTTATAGTTAGTTCCCTAGAATTTTAAAGAAAACAATAAAACAATTAAGTCTTGCAACATTCAACTATAGTTTTATTTTGTTAATCAAAAAAAACAGTAGATCTTATAGTCTTTCACAATTTCAACATTTTCTCATAACGGCTTGATGTGTGTTGAGTCAAATTTTGAGACTATGCGGGAGCAAGGTCAGTTAATTTCACACACGAGTTTTCGGGTTTGATTTTATTTTGGTATTGCCTTGCATTGTATGGAAGAAGGAATGTCTAACATTGATTTGGAAATTGTAGTTTATTTTATTACGCCTTATTTAGTGACCTTTTATTACTATCTTGCACTTGACAAATGCCCCATAAAGATTTTTAAAAAACTAAAACCAATACTAAAACTAATAAAAACTCTACTAAAACAAAGTATTTTTGAAAAAAATACAAAATGGGAAGAAAAAAAAAATAAGAATAATGAAAAATTCATAGCAACCGTAACTGTGTGTGGGAGGCCAACAAAAACGTGCATTTGGTTGCAAATGGTCCACGGGGCGGACTTTGGACTCCCCCTGGCTGAGGGGCTTTTTTTTTTTTTGTGTAGCAACACATGGATGCAAGCAGTTTTATTTATAGCAGACGAGTGCTACATCTAAGACCCCCACTCGAGAAGATAAGCGTGGGGAGATTAGAGCGTGTGTGCTTGCAGAAGGAGCAGCTGTTCACCCACCTCGGCGTGGTGCTCCTGGTTCTGTTGAAGGACCTCAATGACTAACTCCGCCAAGCGAATGGTTTCCTCCAGCTTTTTTGCAGGGGTGACTAAGCGGCCTACATTCTCTGAGAAAAAAAAAAAAAAACGATTAGGGCGAGGGAAGGGTGGTTTGTCAAGTATGGAACAGAATTTCAAGTCAAAAGGTGTTGGGGGGGGGATTGTTCTGTGACAATGATTTTTTTTCTTTTTTATAGACCTTTTTAGGA